TTTTTACTTTCCAAGGAAGTCATTGACCAAACAATAGTAATAACAGGTTGAAGTTAAGTCTAGACTATTTTCCTTGTGGGAACGATCCCAACCTCACTAGTTGGGTTATTTACTTGACATGACCGCTTTACTTCTTATTTAAGAAGTAAGTTTGAATTAAGTTAAAACTAAACTAATTAGACTTACAAAGTTGTTATGATTTCTAAATAAGTTAATTTGATTTCGTTGATGAATATATTATTTGAATTTAGTTTAAACTAAACTAATTACACTTAGAAAGATTTTAAGTTCTTCAAATAAGTTAATGGAATTTTGTTGGTGAATATAGTATTGGTATTAAGTTAAATTTAAACTATTTATATATAGAAAGATGTTAAGTTTATCAAAAAAGTAAATGTGATTTAGTTGGTGAATATAGTATTTGAATTAAGTTAAAATGAAACTAATTATACTTAGAAAGATGTTAAGTTCTTTAAATTAAAAAAGGTTATTTAGTTGGTCAATATAGTGTTTAAATTAAGTTAAAACTAAACTAATTAGACATAGAAAGTTGTTAAATTCTTTGAATGTTAATGTGAATAAGTTGGTGAATATAGTGTTCGAATTAAGTTAAAACTATACTAATTTGACTTGGAAAGTTGTTAAACATTCATTAAATAAGTAAATGTTACTTCTTTGGTGAATATAGTGTTGGAACTAAGTTAAAATTAAACTAATTAGACTTAGAAAGATGTTAAGTTCTTTAAATTAGTTAATGTGATCTAGTTGGTGAATATAGTGTTTAAATTAAGTTAATACTAATCTAATTTTACTTAGAAAGATGTTAAGTTCTTCAAATAATTAAATGTAATTTAGTTGGTGAATATAGTGTTTGAATTTAGTTAAAACTAAACTAATTAGACTTAGAAAGTTGTTAAGTTCTTGAAAGAAGTTAATGTGATTTTGTTGATTAATATATTGTTTGAATTTAGTTAAAACTAATCTGAGAACACTAAGAAAGATGTTAAATTATTCAAATAAGTTAATCGGATTTAGTTGGTGAATATAGTGTTGGATTAAGCTAAAACTAAACTAATTAGACAAAAAAAGATGTTAAGTTCTTCAAAAAGTAAATGTGATTTAGTTGGTGAATATAGTGTTTGAATTAAGTTAAAATTACACTAATTATACTTAGAAAGATGTTAAGTTCTTCAAATAAATAATGCGATTTATTTGGTGCATATAATGATGGAATTAATTTTAAACTAAACTAATTACATTTAGAAAGATTAAAATTTCTTTGAATAAGTAAATGTGATTTAGTTGGTGAATATAGTGTTTGCGTTAAGTTAAAACTAAACTAATTACACTGAGAAAGTTGTCAAGTTCTTTAAATAAGTTAATTCGATTTAGTTGGTCAATATAGTGTTGCAACTA